AAACTAGGTATACTGTTTATGTTAATTTGTCCAAGATCATTGTAAGCGGTATTTAGGTCAGAGGCTAATGATACAAAATATTTATTGAATTCGTTTGCTATGATCCTTCTATTTGTTATCTTAACGTTGTCTATGGTGAACAGCGGCTTTATTTCACGCCGCCGTTTACCTCTTATACGATTTATTAGTTCCCAGGTCTTTTTACTATCACCGCTATTTTCAGCAAATTTACCAGAGAAGTATTCTGTTTTCACAGTTTGACGTGTTTTCTTTAGGACTTTTCTGTATTCTTTGTAGATAAGGTAGCGACTACGTTTTAGTGAGCATTCAGGGCACTGGCAAATGCCGCCCTTGTTATCAGTTTCCCCGAGTTTACATTTTCTATTTCTTATCTCAACCCAATTTTCGTACAGTTTATGCCGATTATTAATTGAGCAAATGAGACCGGGAGTTATCCAAGGGTTAACCTGAACAGTTCTCTTAGAGGTTTTCGGGGTCTCTAGTTTAAACGATTTTTCGACGCAGTTTTTGTAAGTGTCATGGAATTCAGTAAAGTTATGGATTGTTTTAGTTTTAAGCTCATCTTCAAGATCCACTAGGAAGCCGTTAACATTTGATTGACAGAAGTCGTAATATTGTTTAAAAGAAGTTTTTTCAGAGTTGACTTCAACATTCCAGTTAAATGTGTTAAAAATAGGTGAGTTATGAGTTATTCGTTCTTTTAGGGTGCCTGAAGTAATCACATTCTCAATATCGTTAGTAATAATGTTATCTATGCAGGATGCTTTACAGCCTGGTTTTTCGTGGGTAACAATAGATATTAACGGACAAAATCCTTTACTGAATAATATTTCTTCATATTTTTGAACATTTTTGTTATCTTTATCATGAAGATCGATATTAAAGTCTCCAGCTAGATAACTAAACTTCGGCATGTGATCAAGAAGGTTAGAAAGTTCAACTAGAGCTTGGGAAATACAGCCACTTGGTGGACGATACAAAACACCTACATTAACAGGTTGATCTTCGTTACTTAATGATAAGACAAGTATTTCTAGATGTTCTGTGACTTGTGATATATTCTCAATTACAGTAGCATTTAATTTATCGTCAACATAAAGGGCTACTCCAGTGCCCTTTTGTTTGTTAGGTGCTGTGTCCTGATAGTAACTATTATAACCGTCGAGCTGAAATAGATTGCTTAATTCTTTTCCAGTGTTGGTTTCAGCTAGGGCTATTACGGAGAATTTTGTTTTGTACCTACAGGTTTCAATGGCAAGGTTGTCAAAATTTGATTTATTTCCATCAATATTTTGAAAGAGAATAGATGATTGTTTCTTTACTTGGTTGCAGAGAATATTTGTAAGGTCAGATGCAGTGTATGAGTTACAATCATTTAAAGTATTTGAGATTTGGTTGTGTATTCGTCTAGGTTGTTGTCGTCGTCGTCATTGTCAGTGAGTAGTTTAAATGGGTTGTATTTAACCTTGTCTAATGGATACAACGAGTACAGTAAAACTCATTAGATTGGCTATTTGGATTTGATTTGCGATAGCATTTATGGTGCATTATGCAGTCACAGTGAAAACATTCAACTATTGTTTGGCCGATGGACTATGTTCTTAGAACAGACAGGACATACCTCCTTAATGAGGGGAGTCATGGTTGGTAACCATCCACGTGACCCTGACTAGCAGCAGCAGGAACAACAGGACCAGTTTCTCTTCCAGCAGTCGCATCCCTGTAGGATCTATCGTCTACCCTTGTGGACCTCCTCTTCCTTTTGTCGATACCACCGTTAATCCTGAGAAGAACAGTGTTACGAATAAATTGACCTAACTTGCTAGTCCCCTCCAGTTGAGGTGAAGGAAGTCCGGTTTTTGGTATTTGTTGAGGTCGCGAGAGAGAGAGAGCGGTCAAGGAGACCATCCCTATCACAGAACTCATCAAATCCATCCACATAACTGACACCAAAATTGGACGGGAGCAGCCTACATCGATCAAACTGTTAAAGTATATAAGCTTTCTATTTAAATCAGCACGTTTAGAAGGAATTGTTGGACAAACATATACATGCACACCCGGATTAATAGATTGAATCTGGGCAATTTTTGAAACTAGATGGTTGTAGATTATATCAATATCGTTTTGGCTTTTTACATCTGTTTGTTTCAGGTCATTAACCCACACAATATAACACAGTTTCTATAGCCACAGGACACATAAGGATCAATGCTATCGACAGTTGGGGCAAAGAATCGTTTTCCAGGAAGCCATTTGCCGAATGACTTGGCAGGATCAGAACCGAATTTCAGTCCGCCGGTGTTCGAGTCCCCAATGATACATGTAGCGTTTCTATTCAGGGAACTGACTGATCTCAATGTTATACTGTAGCGCAGCCCAGTTATCTCGCCTGCATCGATACGATGGTGGAACAGTGCTTGGCTACGACGAGTCATTACATATAATGATCCTGGGCCACATAGTTGCTTGTGCTCATCAATACCTGTACTAGCATCAGAGAAAGAAACATGACATGCAGTACCAAGAGAGACTGTAAAGATACTTGATTCCGGGTGGATAGAAGGCTCGTTATCAGAGTGTCTAGGCAAGGTGCTGCTTGTGCCGTCAAACCGATTCACCAAACAGCTGTTAACCTGAGGTTGGTCACCTGAACAAAACTCACTGTTGATTCTGTCGATGAGTTTTCTCAAGGGTGGTGGTATTGCCTTTGGTGTCTTGGACGACTTAGATCCAGGATAATCGTACCGTTCCCCATATGATAGGCAGGAGCGTTCGTTTTCAATTTTGAAGTCTGTGCTGCTCAAATCAAATAGGTCAACTAGTTCTTCCGCAGTCTTCTGATCTATAAAATCGTTTTTGAACAGTTCCACAGGTTTCTGCTCATGATGAGGTGGCTGCAAAAGGACAGGTGGTGCTGGAGGACGAGGATGCTGTGCAGGAGGTAGGTTGGGAGGAATGCAAGGACCAGGGTTATGCAATGGCTGTATAGAACTTATAGACTGTTTTAGTTCAGCAATGCCTGCAGCTACAGTGGGCTCATTTGCAGAAAGTGCGGTGAGTTGTTCTGAGATGCTCTCAGAAACTGCTCAGATGAGTCTGTAGATGGGGATGATTCAGGGGAAGGTCTAGATGCTAAAAGTTTAAGGTCCCTCTGTAGTTCAGCTATGTTGGTATTTATTGATTCTAATGATTTGTCATGGAGCTTTATTTCATTATTTAGGCCATTAAGGGAGTTCTCTTTAAGAAGCAGGTGTTGAAGGTGAACGTCGAACTGGGAGAGAGTGTCAAGGTTCCTAGAGAACTGTTCGAAGTCAAATTTTTCAAGAGCTGAGCCTGCTGAGCTTGCTGATGCCACAAGTGCACTGACAGTTTCAAGATTCTTAACAGCTGTAGATGCTTCAAAATCTGAGTTGGCCTGTTGCAAAGCCCTTGTGTTCCTGCAGCTGTAACAAAATTCGTCTCTCTGTTTCTTCAGTGTTGATACTGGTGCCACGAAGCAGTATGGGCACAGCCATTCTACCATGGAGTTGATAGCTGACCTCGTTATACCCTTCATAGACAAGCAGTCCACATGCCACTCTTGATGACACTTAGAACAGTCAATGAGGTAAACTTTACCGTTAAAAGAGCGTTGACATGGACATTTCTTCTTGTCCCTATGTTTCCTGTTTACCTGATCTTCATTGTCCACTGTAGATTCGGCTAAAATGTTGCGAGACAAGCTATTAGATGTTTTAGGAGTACCTGAATTCTTCCTAGTATTTGACGCCATTTTCAAATCAAATGTAAGTAATACTGACCAAATAGATCCGACTTGGGGTCGGCTCCCGTTAAGTGTTTTGTTTTGGAGGAGATTAGGACTTCAGAGTTGATGACCCTAGTAAAGTGTAGATGACCATAATAGAGTGTAGAATGTAGATGACCCTTAGCTTAGTACGCCCCTTCGGGGGAGTTGTAACATACCATTCCTGAACACTCAAATTATTTGTTATATAGTAGTGTTGAAAGTATCATCACACTACATGGAAAAATAACTATTTCTCCATCAAATTTAAAGGTAATAATTTATCAAATATTAATCATGAATAAAACCAACATTACAAAATTTAATTTATTCATACTTCCCAGTAGAGTAAAGATTTATAAAACGTTTCTTTGCTACATAAGGATGGAACCACAGATAATCATTGTGTTTTTCCTTATTACTGATATAACTGGTACCTTCAATTCTTGTTAAAACTTCTTTCGAAACATTCCAAAAATGAAAGTCATTTACAATACATTTAGAAATCATATTCTTTTTAAAACTTTCCAATCCAATTTTAAAACTCAAAACTGTCAAGCAGTTCTTCACCTCCGAAGGGAGTTTGTTCCAATAAGGAACAACCCGCTCTGGAAGAAAAGAACACTGAAGATTCTTGACCTTTGTGAAGGGAGTTTGTTCCAGTAAGGAATGACTCGCTCCGGAAGAAAAGAAGACTGGAGATTCTTAACTTTAGTTACACTCTTACTACACATTGGTTGAAACTAGATTAAGACCAGATCTGCTCATTCTGAACAAACCCGATCCATATTCAGTCAAACCACTAGTTACTTTAAAAGCTTCAATAAGGTCCCCACGTATTTGCCGCTCTGCCAGCGTTGTCAAATTGAGGATATCCAGTCTACGGCTGTATGGAAGAGTACCCACCTCATCAATAAGACAGGTAAACCGCCTCTGGACGCTCTCCAGCTCCAAAACAGTCCCCCAACTTCCATGAGCCGCAACTGGATTCCACAATTGGACACAATACTCAAGATGAGGTCTTATCAAAGCTTTATAAATAGCTATCATTACAACCTTTTCTCTAATAACTAAGTTCCTTACAATCCAGCAGATCATACGATTTGCTTTAGAAATACATGCTTTTATCTGTTCATTCCAAAGCAAGGAGCTATGGGTAACAGCATTGATAAACTTTATTAAACTTTTTCCTTTTTAGCCTGGACTATTAGCAAGGCAAAATGGGCACTAAAAGGCCAACAAAAACCACTAAAAGTGGGCGCTACATGAACCCCACTGACCAAGCGAGAAAAGAGGCTAGAAGAAAAGAATTGAAAAAGAACAAAAAGCAGCGTATGGCAGTGAGACAGGCTGTCTTGAAAGGAAAAGATCCATTGATGCTGGTTTGTGTTACTTAACATGTTGATATAACTTTAGTACTTCTCAACCTTGTTATATATATATATAAAAGCACAAGCTTCAGAATTTTGAAATTATTGTTAACGATATTGACTGTATTTCTCAGGTAAAAGAGCTAGAACAAGTGGAACAAATGGAGCTCGAAACTCTAGCAGAAGCTTTGCCTACAAGCAAAGCACTTCGTGAGAAGAAACTGAAAATGAAGGAAACAATTGACAGAGTGATTAAATGCTATGAAAAGGAAAGCGACAAAGATATGGTTAGTTTTTCAACTTTTTCATTGAAATTTAATTACAAGTTTCATGAATTTGATTTTAAATGGACAGTTTTGTTAAAACCGTTAAAATGCTAACAACAGGAACTGAGTTTGATGTTTAATGTGATGAATACAGTGATTGACATGATGATCCAGTGTTACTGTTATGAAACATAAACTCATCCATAGGTGGAAAAGATCAAGAGATCGATGGTAGAATATGAATCAAGACGAAGGAAGTACGTCGCATATTATCAGAGCAAAAAAGACATCCAGATGGATAACGTGTTAGAACTGCAAAACATTCCACTGCCAGACAATATACCCCTTCCCAAGGAGCTGCCTCCTAAAATGAATTCAGATGATAGTCATGAGTCTGTTATCAGTATTGTTAGTTTACCATCTAATGTTGCTCCCCCTCCACCGCCATCAGGTTCTTTATTTACCTACTTGAGATATCTTATTTGTGTTATATTCGTTATTTAACTCTAGAATACTGCTTCAGACGTTTAATTAATTGTCTAGTTTCGATACCAACGTATCTGTGAACTGTTTCTTTCACTCTGTATCATTTATCAGTAATGTGATTCGTGCTTATTTTAAATCCAAACATTAAATTTAAACTATTTGCTGAACACTATGTATCTCAAAATTTCTTGTAATCTGGTTTGTAATTCTATTAATTTCATGCTAGAACAATCATCATTAATCTCAATATAATTGGCAATAACTGGTTGTTGACTTTCAGACGATCCTCCCAAATGCTGTATAAAGACAGAAGCGTTATATAACTACAGTAACAAGTCTGACGGACCCAATCTAACTACCACTGTGAGTTCAGCTAGATGTTGTTATTTCAGTTTAAATTATAAAAACAAGCCTTGTTTCACGTATACACTGTTGAATGTGTAATCTAATATTATATGAACACCTCAGTATGTTACTAAATGTCGATACTTATTTCAAATTCTCTCAGAATTCTAAGAGTGACACATTAAAAGCACCTGGTCCGCCTCCAGGGCCCCCTCCTGGCCCGCCCCCTGGGCCCCCTCCTTCAATGCAGGCCGGATTCGCCGGTGCTCCCAGAGGTTTACAGTATACAGTTATTATTATTATATAATTGTGATATCTTATACTTAATTTATATACTACAATTACTGTGCGGTATCGTAATATCACATACATCATGTACTGTTATTCTATAACATCAGGCCACGGTTATTAAATGCACGGTAATAATGTAAAAGTCCTTATCTTTTTAATACTTTTCAAAAAAGTTACAACGAATTTACCATTTAACATGTAACATGTATTAACCTGTAATCTTGTGTGTAACCAGTGATGTTGCAGGAATGGGAGGACTACCCCAGATGCGGCCTGGTGCACTTCCCCCAGGAGTTGTCTTGTACGCTCCCGGAGGTCCTGACGGGGTCTCACACCAGATCCGACCAATGTTTCACTCTCATGGTCTGTATTTTCTATCTTTTATTAATTCATTTATAACCGCAATTCTAATTCCTTAGTCATATTATTTATATTATTTAAATCTCATTTATTAATACTTGAAACTATAAATAAAGATACTAAAATGTTTAACCTTGGTTATGTGACAGTGTCAGGTAACCCGTACCTCAATAAACCTCAAGACAAGTACGCATCAGCCACCATCTCCAAGAAGGCCACCACGATAGTCACGAACTCTAAAACACCGGGCAGCTCAGCCCCAACCGCACCTGTCCAAAACAAACAAGAGAGGGTATGTTCAATTCTTTAAAACAACAGTCTTACATTTATCAGATCCAAGTTCCAACTGCTTAATTTGTTACCTTTTTCTAATCCAAAAGAGCTTTTTTGAGTTAGCAATTTTTTGTAGGAGGATGACACAAGTTTATAAACAGTTATGCTAAAGGTTTACATTTCCAGGTAACCAGATTTGTGCCAGTGTCAGTGAAGTTACGGAAGCGTTTGCCGGAAGAACGTCCCAAACAACTACCTGTCCAACAAACACCTACCACAGAGAAAGCTAAGCCTGAAGAGGGTGTGGACGCGTACAGCGCCTTTATGGACGAGATGGAGGGGCTTATGTGATCACGTGATCACGTGATCACATGATTATGCTATCTGTCTTGAGAGTGATTTAATTGTGTTTAAAATCTGTTTTAAAACACAGAGTTCTGATGACTGTACAGCTCTATTTCACAGTGTTTTTTTATTAAAAATGCTTATTTATATCCAGTGTTTCATGACGTTATGTGGTTTAAGATAAGGTGGATTTATATTTATCAGGATAACACCAGTTTAAAAACACTATAACTTGATGTAGACCTATCTTTAACAGATCAATAAATATACCAATTATAATGTTCATAGTTGGGAACTGTAGTTTTAATGTTTCTTATATCGTTATCAGTTTCAGCTGAATTTATACTGTAAAGATGTTTTAAAAGAATTGCATTTTTCGTTAAATTTCCATTTTCAATCTATTCCATTTTTATTGAAACTCAGATTATTGAAGGCTAAGTTCAGGAGGAGCTATGTCAGAAAAGAGGGAGAGTCACGTGAATGAGCTGCTAAAACAGCTGTGTTCCCAGCAGCTCTCCGGAGTTAGTGCAGGTTCGTACTTCTAATTAGCTGCTAAAACAGCTGTGTTCCCAGCAACTCTCCGGAGTTAGTGCAGGTTCGTACTTCTAATTAGCTGCTAAAACAGCTGTGTTCCCAGCAACTCTCCGGAGTTAGTGCAGGTTCGTTTCTTATTAGCTGCTAAAACAGCTGTGTTCCCAGCAACTCTCCGGAGTTAGTGCAGGTTCGTACTTCTAATTAGCTGCTAAAACAGCTGTGTTCCCAGCAACTCTCCGGAGTTAGTGCAGGTTCGTACTTCTAATTAGCTGCTAAAACAGCTGTGTTCCCAGCAACTCTCCGGAGTTAGTGCAGGTTCGTTTCTAATTAGCTGCTAAAACAGTTGTGTTCCCAGCAACTCTCCGGAGTTAGTGCAGGTTCGTACTTCTAATTAGCTGCTAAAACAGTTGTGTTCCCAGCAGCTCTCCGGAGTTAGTGCAGGTTCGTACTTCTAATTAGCTGCTTAAACAGCTGTGTTCCCAGCAACTCTCCGGAGTTAGTGCAGGTTCGTACTTCTAATTAGCTGCTAAAACAGCTGTGTTCCCAGCAACTCTCCGGAGTTAGTGCAGGTTCGTTTCTAATTAGCTGCTAAAACAGTTGTGTTCCCAGCAACTCTCCGGAGTTAGTGCAGGTTCGTACTTCTAATTAGCTGCTAAAACAGCTGTGTTCCCAGCAACTCTCCGGAGTTAGTGCAGGTTCGTACTTCTAATTAGCTGCTAAAACAGCTGTGTTCCCAGCAACTCTCCGGAGTTAGTGCAGGTTCGTTTCTAATTAGCTGCTAAAACAGTTGTGTTCCCAGCAACTCTCCGGAGTTAGTGCAGGTTCGTACTTCTAATTAGCTGCTAAAACAGCTGTGTTCCCAGCAACTCTCCGGAGTTAGTGCAGGTTCGTACTTCTAATTAGCTGCTAAAACAGCTGTGTTCCCAGCAACTCTCCGGAGTTAGTGCAGGTTCGTACTTCTAATTAGCTGCTAAAACAGCTGTGTTCCCAGCAACTCTCCGGAGTTAGTGCAGGTTCGTACTTCTAATTAGCTGCTAAAACAGCTGTGTTCCCAGCAACTCTCCGGAGTTAGTGCAGGTTCGTACTTCTAATTAGCTGCTAAAACAGCTGTGTTCCCAGCAACTCTCCGGAGTTAGTGCAGGTTCGTACTTCTAATTAGCTGCTAAAACAGCTGTGTTCCCAGCAACTCTCCGGAGTTAGTGCAGGTTCGTACTTCTAATTAGCTGCTAAAACAGCTGTGTTCCCAGCAACTCTCCGGAGTTAGTGCAGGTTCGTACTTCTAATTAGCTGCTAAAACAGCTGTGTTCCCAGCAACTCTCCGGAGTTAGTGCAGGTTCGTCTTCTAATTAGCTGCTAAAACAGTTGTGTTCCCAGCAACTCTCCGGAGTTAGTGCAGGTTCGTACTTCTAATTAGCTGCTAAAACAGCTGTGTTCCCAGCAACTCTCCGGAGTTAGTGCAGGTTCGTACTTCTAATTAGCTGCTAAAACAGCTGTGTTCCCAGCAACTCTCCGGAGTTAGTGCAGGTTCGTACTTCTAATTAGCTGCTAAAACAGCTGTGTTCCCAGCAACTCTCCGGAGTTAGTGCAGGTTCGTACTTCTAATTAGCTGCTAAAACAGCTGTGTTCCCAGCAACTCTCCGGAGTTAGTGCAGGTTCGTACTTCTAATTAGCTGCTAAAACAGCTGTGTTCCCAGCAACTCTCCGGAGTTAGTGCAGGTTCGTACTTCTAATTAGCTGCTAAAACAGCTGTGTTCCCAGCAACTCTCCGGAGTTAGTGCAGGTTCGTACTTCTAATTAGCTGCTAAAACAGCTGTGTTCCCAGCAACTCTCCGGAGTTAGTGCAGGTTCGTACTTCTAATTAGCTGCTAAAACAGCTGTGTTCCCAGCAACTCTCCGGAGTTAGTGCAGGTTCGTACTTCTAATTAGCTGCTAAAACAGCTGTGTTCCCAGCAACTCTCCGGAGTTAGTGCAGGTTCGTACTTCTAATTAGCTGCTAAAACAGCTGTGTTCCCAGCAACTCTCCGGAGTTAGTGCAGGTTCGTACTTCTAATTAGCTGCTAAAACAGCTGTGTTCCCAGCAACTCTCCGGAGTTAGTGCAGGTTCGTACTTCTAATTAGCTGCTAAAACAGCTGTGTTCCCAGCAACTCTCCGGAGTTAGTGCAGGTTCGTACTTCTAATTAGCTGCTAAAACAGCTGTGTTCCCAGCAACTCTCCGGAGTTAGTGCAGGTTCGTACTTCTAATTAGCTGCTAAAACAGCTGTGTTCCCAGCAACTCTCCGGAGTTAGTGCAGGTTCGTACTTCTAATTAGCTGCTAAAACAGCTGTGTTCCCAGCAACTCTCCGGAGTTAGTGCAGGTTCGTACTTCTAATTAGCTGCTAAAACAGCTGTGTTCCCAGCAACTCTCCGGAGTTAGTGCAGGTTCGTACTTCTAATTAGCTGCTAAAACAGCTGTGTTCCCAGCAACTCTCCGGAGTTAGTGCAGGTTCGTACTTCTAATTAGCTGCTAAAACAGCTGTGTTCCCAGCAACTCTCCGGAGTTAGTGCAGGTTCGTACTTCTAATTAGCTGCTAAAACAGCTGTGTTCCCAGCAACTCTCCGGAGTTAGTGCAGGTTCGTACTTCTAATTAGCTGCTAAAACAGCTGTGTTCCCAGCAACTCTCCGGAGTTAGTGCAGGTTCGTACTTCTAATTAGCTGCTAAAACAGCTGTGTTCCCAGCAACTCTCCGGAGTTAGTGCAGGTTCGTACTTCTAATTAGCTGCTAAAACAGCTGTGTTCCCAGCAACTCTCCGGAGTTAGTGCAGGTTCGTACTTCTAATTAGCTGCTAAAACAGCTGTGTTCCCAGCAACTCTCCGGAGTTAGTGCAGGTTCGTACTTCTAATTAGCTGCTAAAACAGCTGTGTTCCCAGCAACTCTCCGGAGTTAGTGCAGGTTCGTACTTCTAATTAGCTGCTAAAACAGCTGTGTTCCCAGCAACTCTCCGGAGTTAGTGCAGGTTCGTACTTCTAATTAGCTGCTAAAACAGCTGTGTTCCCAGCAACTCTCCGGAGTTAGTGCAGGTTCGTACTTCTAATTAGCTGCTAAAACAGCTGTGTTCCCAGCAACTCTCCGGAGTTAGTGCAGGTTCGTACTTCTAATTAGCTGCTAAAACAGCTGTGTTCCCAGCAACTCTCCGGAGTTAGTGCAGGTTCGTACTTCTAATTAGCTGCTAAAACAGCTGTGTTCCCAGCAACTCTCCGGAGTTAGTGCAGGTTCGTACTTCTAATTAGCTGCTAAAACAGCTGTGTTCCCAGCAACTCTCCGGAGTTAGTGCAGGTTCGTTTCTAATTAGCTGCTAAAACAGCTGTGTTCCCAGCAACTCTCCGGAGTTAGTGCAGGTTCGTACTTCTAATTAGCTGCTAAAACAGTTGTGTTCCCAGCAACTCTCCGGAGTTAGTGCAGGTTCGTTTCTAATTAGCTGCTTAAACAGCTGTGTTCCCAGCAACTCTCCGGAGTTAGTGCAGGTTCGTACTTCTAATTAGCTGCTAAAACAGCTGTGTTCCCAGCAACTCTCCGGAGTTAGTGCAGGTTCGTACTTCTAATTAGCTGCTAAAACAGCTGTGTTCCCAGCAACTCTCCGGAGTTAGTGCAGGTTCGTACTTCTAATTAGCTGCTAAAACAGCTGTGTTCCCAGCAACTCTCCGGAGTTAGTGCAGGTTCGTACTTCTAATTAGCTGCTAAAACAGTTGTGTTCCCAGCAACTCTCCGGAGTTAGTGCAGGTTCGTACTTCTAATTATATCTCTTTTAATAATGAGGTCTGAATCAGAAAATCTATTTATTTGCTAATTGGAAATTATTTGCGTGTGAACGACCAATTATTGGTCGTATGGTACTAATAAAAACAAAAGTTTGATACATCAAACTGGGCAATCTTGTGTGATTGGTCGGCTTGGAGATGGCTAGATAGTGAAGGATCTTGACCTGGGGGTCTGATCGTCATCTTCTTACAGCTTATCTCTTTAAGGTATCTTTTGTTTCGCACTTGTGAGTGGGTCGATCATATTTGATTGTTAGGGACGAAATAAGTGGAGACTCTCACTTCGTCCCCAACAATCAAACATATTCTCTTTTACCTAGCTCTGTATTTTCAGTATGAATAAGTTGTATGTCTAATATGTTTTACTGTGCCAATTACTCAGTTTGGAGTATTATTTTCAACAAAGGGATGTGAATTTCTAAGGTCATATAAAGTTTCTAGAATTATATCTACATATATTTTAAACTTAACGAAATCCCCTCGGCAAACGCGCGTTGCCATGCTTTATGATACGTCATAACTAGCTCACATTGCATCGATAGCTCACATCTACGCTCACTTTGGTTGTGATTGATATTTTTCGATGCGGTAAAAAGTGTCGTTTAGGGAATCGGAATACTTACAGCGTTGTCGTCATAGTAAAATAAAATTCATAATTTCTACTGTACAGAGCTAAACGATGAAGATAAATTATATTAAAACAAAGCTGATTTTTAAAATTTCCTCGAACAAAGCTTTCGACTTACGGGTTTCTAGTACATAATATTTTATAATACATTACTACACACATTTAAATTGTTTTTATTTTCGAATCATCTAATCTCTAAAAATTATTAAAACTGAGATGAAAATTAACATTGTCATTAAAGTATAAGTTTTATAAACATAAATCTGAAATTCCATGCTCCGTGAACGATATACTGTAGCAAAAGCAGTTTTACCCATTATATCCAACGGCATTAAACCTGCCAACAGGCTAATAAAGTTAGTAGAGTCTAGAAAATTAGAAAATAATCCCCCAATCAATCTATAATATTGTTTCAACTGCTATTTCAAACGTCTCTTCAAAAATCTGTAACATCATAAACGTTTTCATTATCAGCTGCTCTGTTCTCTATAACTACAGTTTTGTTCTCGGGCGTTTTCTCTGGCTTGATTCGAGTATCAGGCATAAGGGTGGAGAGACCACCTCTTTTACT